TAAAAAATTCCCTTAGCGTTTACTTGTCCGAAAAGGATTTAATTTCTCCTTTGCTTATAAAACTTAGTTTAGCTAGATATGAAATTCTTGGTTGGATTTTTTTTTTTTTCTTCAAGGATGCTGAATATAGTTCCCTAGTCTCTTCTGGCTTATAAGGCTTCTGCTAAAAAGTCCACTGTTAACCTGATGGGCTTCCCTTTGTAGGTGACCTGCTCCTTCTCTCTAGCTGTCTTTATGAGTTTTTCTTTCATGTGGACGTTGGAGAATGTCATGACTATGTGTCTTGAGGATGGTTTTTTCGTATACTATTTTGTAGGGGTTCTCTGCATTTCCTAAGTTTGCAAGTTGTATGTGTGCATGTTGGCGAGGCAGTGGGCAGAGGCTATAAGTGAGTGTGCACCTGTTGGGGTACATCTGCAAAAGTGCTCCCATGGGAAGGTGGGGGGCTGCTAGCAAGCATTTCATCGGGACAGCTGAGGCTGTACTGCAAATGGGTGTGGCCAGGCAGGGACCCTGGGAGAGGATGGCAGACAGGGATGTTCAGATCAGACAGGCCTCACTCTATGCAAAAGACAGCCCCGCCCTCTCCATGTCTGGCTGCTAATAAAGGCTAAGGCCACCTAGAGGAGTATGGTGAGCCTTGGGGAATGGATACCCATGGCTTTGCTCCACTGCAGCTGTTCCCATGCTAAACCCTCTGCTCTCCACAGACTAGAGTTCTGTCTCTGGCAACTCTCCAGGTAGTTCCCCCTGCCAATTCAAATGTCTTGAAGGGGTCTTGGGGTCTCCTGCAGCTAGATCTCTAAGGTCTGTGACAAGAGTGGGCCACTCCACACCTGTTTCACTCACCCTTTCCCTAGGAGCCACTAAGTGCCAGGAGTGAGTCCTGGTGCTTGGCAACTCCATGCAGAGTTCCCAGTTTCCTCCTTTTTCAGACTTAAGGTCTGCATCCTCCCCGTATCCACTCTGAATATCTTCTTTCTGAATATCTGTTCAGCATGTGCCAGTCTACTTGATGGTGGTCTCTCTTGGGAGAGGGTCTCCTGGCTGTGCCTAGTCAGTCATCTTGGCTACTCAAGTTTTTAAAAAGTGTCTTAAGGACATAAAAAGTTACTACATATTTATTTTTATTTTGAGACAGTCTCGCTGTGTCACTAATGCTAGAGTGTGGAGGTGCGATCTAAGCTCACTGGAACCTCTGCCTCCTGGGTTCAAGTGAACCTCCCACCTCAGCCTCCTTAGTACCTAGAATTATAAGCATGTGTCATGATGCCCAGCAGAGTTTTGTATTTTTAGAAGAGATAGGGTTTTAACATATTGGCCAGGCTGGTGTTGAACTCCTGACCTTAAGTGATCTGCCCGCCCTAAAGTCTGGAATTACAGGCATGATCTATCACAACTAGCTGATATTTGTTAAATTAAAAATAACTTTTTTTTTTTTTTTTTGAGATGGAGTCTCACTCTGTCACCCAGGCTGGAGTGCAGTGGTGCAATCTCAGCCCACTGCAACCTCTACCTCCTGGTTCAAGCGATTCTCCTGCCTCAGCCTCCTGAGTAGCTGGGATTACAGGCATGTGCCACCACACCTGGCTAATTTCTGGATTTTTAGTAGAGACGAGGTTTCACCATGTTGGTCAGGCTGGTCTCAAACTCCTGACCTCATGATTTGCCCACCTTGGCCTCCCAAAGTGCTCGTATTACAAGTGTGAGCCACTGTGCCCAGCCAAAAATAACATTTTAAGTTCCTAGGCCTCTGTGAGGCCTGCACAAGCTTGATGAGGCCTTTATAGCGACAGTAGGGGAGGATGAGGGATCAAATGATCACTGGTTTCTTTCACACTTCAACAAGCTTTTGTTTTGTTTTTTGAGATAGAGTCTCACTCTGTCACCCATGCTGGAGTGCAGTGGCATGATCAAGGCTCATTGTAGTCTCGACCTTCTGGACTCAGGCAATCCTCCTGCCTCAGCCTCCCTAGTAGCTGGGACTACAGGCATGTGTCACTATGCCTGGCTAATTTTTGTGTTTTTGGTAGAGGCCAGGTTTCGCCATGTTAGCCAGGCTGGCCTCGAATTCCTTGCCTAAAGTGATCTGCCTACCTCGGTCCCCCACATGCCGGGATTGCAGACATGAGCCACTGAGCCTGTGGCCTCAACAAGCCTTTATGCCAATTTCTAGCATTCGCTTTGTCCACTTCTTAAGTGAGCTAAGCTATGGAGTTCTGCAGTCTATTCCATTAGCAATTTCTAAATACGCAATAAATTATGATTAAATATGGTTATGCTGTGCAGCAGATCTCTAAATTTTATTCCTCCTGTCTAACTGAAACTTTGCACCATTTGACCAGCATTTCCCCATTCCCTCCTGCCACTCAACTGCAGCCTCTGGTAACTGCCCGTCTACTCTCTACCTATGTGAGTTGGACTTTTTTAGATTCCACATATAAGTGAGATCATATAGTGTAGGTTGAGTATCCATCGTTCAAAATGCTTAGGACTAGAAGTGTTTCCAATTTTGCATTTTTTTGGATTTTGGAATGTTTGCATATACTTAATGAGATATCTTAGGAATGGGGCCCAAGTCTAACACAGAATTTATGTTTCAGGTTATGTGCATAACCTGAAGGTAATTTTATACAATATTTTAAATAACTTTGTGCATTAAACAAAGTTTGTGTACACTGAACCATCAGAAAGTAAGTGTCAGGTGTGGAATTTTCCACCTGTGGCTCTCACAAACTTTTGGATTTTGAAACATTTCAAATTTTGGAATTTCAGATTAGATTAGAGATGGTCAACCTATATTTGCCTTTTTGGACCTGGCTTATTTCACTTAATATAATGTCTTCCACTTAATATAATGTTAATCCACAGTCTTGCAAATGACAGAATGATAGAATTTTCTTCTCTTTTAAAGCTAAATAATACTCCATTTGTATATGTGTGCTACTTTTTAAAAAAATCCATTCATCCATTAATAGGCATTTATGTTGTTTCCTAAGGCATGGCTATTGTGACTAATGCCTCAGTGAACGTGGCAGTACAAATATCTCTTTGACACACTGATTGCAGTTCCTTTGGATATACATCCACAAGTGGGATTGCTGGATCGTAGTTCAATTTTCAGTTTTTGAGGGACCTCGGCTATAGCTTTATTTTCTTAAAACAAGCAAAAAAATCACTTTATAATTAGTTGATGGGCATGATTTTATAATTTGTGAGACTGCAGGCCATAGCCCTTGAAAAAAAGATTAACTGAAAAATACAGAAACATTTTTTTTTTTTAATCCTGGAAAATGATCCATATGTTTCTATAAAAATATAACTTAACTGGCCCTTACAGGTTTTTCTTTGTCTTATATCGCTCTTCCATTTGCTATATATATATTTTTTAAGGAATTGGGTCTTCAAATAATCACTCTTTAAAATTTCTGCTTAATTCTCTTTTAATCTGCTTTATGCTTATTCAAAGCCAATTTAGAAGCTTTTTCATCCTCTATTTACTGGAACAAAGTTACATTCTGAAGAGGGAGTATTTTGGAAATGAGTTGAAGTTTAAGGGCGTAAATATCATTGACATTTTAGTTGGATGGGATTATAGGACTGACTTTTAAAATGGTTGTATCTATATTTACCACAAGGTGGTACCAGATACTCACTTGTTATCAGGAACTGAAGCACTCCTGTAAGAACATTTCCATTATACTATTATTATTATTATTACTATTATTATTATTATTATTTTTTTTTTTTTTT